ATGGAGAATTCCAGCTTGGACTTCTTGCCATAATCAACGGAGAGTCGCTCCATCAACAGGGAGGTGAATCCAGAGCCAGTGCCACCTCCAAAACTGTGAAACACCAGGAATCCCTGGAGGCCTGTGCACTGGTCAGCCTGTGGAGAGAGATGAGGAGAGATTACTCTGAGACACATTTCTTGTGACAGTCCGGCTGTCCATAAGTCCCTTCAGGACCTGGTGTATCCCTGCCCTGGTCAGCTGCATATCCCACTCAGGGCGCCGCATGGCCTGTAGTGTGTTCTGAGCCCCAGTCCAGGGAGATACAGCCCCTCTCTGCAGTCACTCACCAGCTTACGGATCCTGTCCAGCACCTGATCAATGATCTCTTTGCCAATGGTGTAGTGCCCACGGGCGTAGTTGTTGGCAGCATCCTCCTTGCCAGTAATGAGCTGCTCAGGGTGGAAGAGCTGCCGGTAGACTCCTCCCCGAACCTCATCTAGGAGAGAACAGGGGCAGGTTGAGCCCAGGGGAGGCAGCTGCTTTGAGCCGGCCGCCAGGCAGACACGTGGGTGCTAGCAGCCATCCCTCACCTTGGCTCCGCCTGCCCCCGTGGCATGGCCAAGGACCCACACGTCAGCAGAGCCAACACCAGCATCAAGTTTCTCTGGCATGAGGAGGTGGCTGCCACCTCCCTGCGCAGCTCAGCTTCTCCCACCCTTCAGGAGCTGCCTGCCCACAGCGCAGCAGGAGCTGCCGTGCCGGTTGGGCTGGTTTCTCTCTGTGCACATGTGGTACAAGCACCGCTGACTCTAGGACACTTCAAGAACAAAAGCAGGTGCTCATGTTTGTGGTTCTCCTGGGGAAAAAAAAAGGAGCCTGGGGTCGAACCCCTTGCAGGATATTGTCAGAAGACCACGAGCACCAGCTGACTGCTACCCACCCCTGGGGGCACCTCAGGCTGTGTGAACTCCAAGGAGCATCCTGCAATGGGCTGTTGCCCAAAATAATGACCACTATCAGAGCCCAGTTAGTTTGCACTCACCAATCACGGTGGGCTCCAGGTCCACGAAGATG